CTTTATGTTTTTGTTATTGAAGTTGAATTTGGTGAATGCTCCCTCGTGACTAGTCTCATTACGTCGGTCTGGGGCTCCACGCATACATGTCTGAACCTCAATTATGTTGTGATCCGAGTATATTGTTTTTGATATGGTGATATTTCTTATCAGATCATCATTGTTAGTGAAGATGTAGATGCTAGTGTACTCGCATATAATCTAGTGATACCAGTGAATAGCAGAATACAGTGTTGTAGTAGCAACTAACCAGTATTATAATGGTACTTAGTGGAGTGGAGTGACTTTCATTAGTTTCTTTTTTCTTGAAATACCAGACGTTACTGTGAATTTCATATAACCTGTAGTTACCAGCGGTCGCAATATACACAACGAGAAGCAAATATTACTACAGAAAAAGCGTCCTTCCTCCAAAATTTCCACCAGTCAACTATAGTGATAATATAGCATTTATTGTGGTGGAGACGGAAAAAAAAATAGAAAAGCTAGATATAGCGATTGATAAACAAGGGTGGAGGTCGACCGTTCGTCACTGTAGGAGCTGCCAGCAGTCACCGGTTTCTTCAACATGCAAGTTATACTTTTGTATCAATCAAATCACATATTACTCGGGTAGATAATTTCCAGTAGATCCTTCATGTGTTAGCCCAAATCACCGACCAGTATGTTTTAAGTAAGTGACCCACTGATCAGATCAGATCGACTGGTCCGAACCCTTGACTGGTCCGAACCCTTGACTGGTCTGAACCCTTGACTGGGTTCAAACGGTTTCGTTGGACAATAAAGCAGACTGTAAACGGATGGGGTTGTAGGCGCCCTTATAAACACAAACATTAAATATAAATCAGGAACGTGCACGGTAAGCTGTCCAATATACAAAAACAGTTAGAAACAGAAATACAAATAGCTAGAGCTTCATTTAAGGAGGTTATTAATAGAATATTCAAGAGGTTGCTACCTGGAGTTTACCTGGAGAGAGTTCCGGGGGTCAACGCCCCCGCGGCCCGGTCAGTGACCAGGCCTCCTGGTGGATCAGCGCCTGATCAACCAGGCTGTTGCTGCTGGCTGCACGCAAACCAACGTACGAGCCACAGCCCGGCTGATCAGGAACTGACTTTAGGTGCTTGTTCAGTGCCAGCTTGAAGACTGCCAGGGGTCTGTTGGTAATCCCCCTTATGTGTGCTGGGAGGCAGTTGAACAGTCTCGGGCCCCTGACACTTATTGTATGGTCTCTTAACGTGCTAGTGACACCCCTGCTTTTCATTGGGGGGATGGTGCATCGTCTGCAAGTCTTTTGTTTTTCGTAGTGAGTGTTTTCGTGTGAAAGTTCGGTACTAGTCCTCTAGGATTTTCCAGGTGTATATAATCATGTATCTCTCCCGCCTGCGTTCCAGGGAATACAGGTTTGGGAAAACCTCAAGCGCTCCCAGTAATTGGAGGTGTTTTATCTTCGTTATGCGCGCCGTGAAAGTTCTCTGTACATTTTTTAGGTCGGCAATTTCACCTGCCTTGAAAGGTGCTGTTAGTGTGCAGCAATATTCCAGCCTAGATAGAACAAGTAACCTGAAGAGTGTCATCATGGGCTTGGCCTCCCTAGTTTTGAAGGTTCTCATTATCCATCCTGTCATTTTTCTAGCAGATGCGATTGATACAATGTTATGGTCCTTGAAGGTGAGATCCTCCGACATAATCACTCCCAGGTCTTTGACGTTGGTGTTTCGCTCTAGTAGAATTGCAGTAAATCAACCATTCAAATCATTATGAAGCTGTGTGTAGTCTGTGGTCAGTCAAACAAACGGGCTTCCACATGGATAAATTGTCATTTTTGTGGAAATTGGTGTCACGCCCCTTGAGCAGATATCCAAGAACTAGCTACAAGCAGTATTAAAACAGGGAACTGTTTTTGGGTATGCCCAAATGAGATAAGTCTGTGGACTAAAATCACAAGGGTATTAAAAGAGGACAACATCAAAGCTGCTTTCATAGAAAACCTGGAAGCTTTCTACAACAGATGGGAACATAAAAAGTCTGGGCTGAATGGTACTGCCCTTGATACTGGCCATGTAGTCAGAAACTGTAAGGCTGGAGATGAAGTCCTGGTAGTCAGTAAATGTGGGGCTGATAGTGCTGTCCTGGGAGACAGTAATGGTGAAGCTGGAGGTGCTGTCCTGGGAGACAGTAATGGTGAAGCTGGAGGTACTGTCCTGGGAGACAGTAATGGTGAAGCTGGAGATGCTGTCCTGGGAGACAGTAATGGTGAAGCTGGAGATTTTGTCCAGGTAGTCGGGAATTATACGCAGGAAGGAATACGTATAAAATGACCTCATAGGGGACAGGAGCCATAGTAGGGAAACAAGTGTAGTCAAAGATAAGATAAAACCAATATTGCAAACTAGAAATACCGCAGGAAATAGCAAACAAGAGGACTCCACTAGCAATAGTGAGGATATATTACCAAAAAACAACTGGTGGGAGCTCCATTGTTGGTGCTAGGGAGGATAGAAGTAAGACAGGGAAACATGCACCAACAGGGAATACAGTCACAGAAACCCAAGGCAAACGGAAACCAAGCCTGTGCACATACTATGCACTTGGTATCTGCTGGCATGGGAAATCTGGAAAAACAGATGGGACGTGCAACTATGACCACCCTAGAAAATGCCATGCCCATATGACAACAGGAAAATGCAAACTCCCTTCCTGTAAGCTTTTTCACCCTGAACTGTGTACCTCTTCAGTACAGGAAAGACTGTGCTATAACTTAAATTGCCAGGCATACCATCTAAAGGGGACAAAAAGATACAAAACATCCAGGCCATGGGAAAACCTGGGTAGCCACAGCCACTCAAGAGGGAGAGGTTTTCTAGTGCCAGCAAGGAAAAAAAACTGGCAGGAAATGGCAGAAATCGTACACCAAATCCAGTCATTCCTGGAGTGGAACCACAGTCGATGGCTCCACTCCAAACCAACAGATACAGATACTAATACCGGAAAAAAAATCCCCCCCCCGTACCAACAATACCACAGTCCGATAACATTCTTCTTTGCAAATACAGGGTCTAAAAGCAGAAACAAACAACAAAATCCCTTTCATCCGTAAAACTGTTTGCAGAGGCAAAGGCAATGTTCGCGGCTTTCCTGAACCCACATAAAGGATCAGGGCAACGAAATAGGGACCCAGGTTAAAACCCTATACAGAGTGACAGAGTAACAAAAAAGGGGGGGGTTGGCCTGTACATTGCGAGTCACTTAAAACCCATCCCCGGGGCCGTATTAAACCCCCGGTATAGATTTTTCAAATCCCGGCCGGGGGGTATGGTTTATTTGCAATCGTGTCATTACGTTTTTCTTGAGTCGGGTCACTTTTTTGCCAGAACTGCTTAATCCTAAAATAAATTATTTAATTTTGGGCAGTAAAGGTCGAAAACCAAAACCTAGTCCTTGTGGTAGTCTACAAGCCCCCGGGATGCAACACCCAAAATTCCCGGGAAACAGCTTTTAAAAATTGACCACTGTCGGGAAAAATCTTCCGCTCCTCCCCAAAACACTTGCTCCTGGGGGATTTCAATTTTAAGGCCCCTAAAATGGAGGAATATAGCAAATAAATTTTTGCGAAATAACCCCAGGGGGCAGCTCTGATGAAAACTCACACCACACATTTTCAAAATCTCTGCACAAAATTCAATTAAACCGCAAATAATAGAGCCTACTAACTGGAGAATACACAGTCATCGACGTATTTCTGTAACAAATGTACATAATCGTCTTAATGTACAGTAATTTTTTCGAATGTACAGTAAAACTGTATAAACAGTAAAACGTATTAAAAGTACAGTAATCTTATGTAAAGTACAGTAATAAGCTTAATGTACAGAAAAATTGTACTTTAATGTACAGTAATAATTTACGTAGTGAGTAATTTGTACCACTCTACAGTAATATTGTACGTACTCTACGTAAATTGTACTAATGTACAGTTTTGTCGTACTGTAGATAATTTGTACCACTTACAGTAATATTTTTAAGTTTCGTCAGTAAATTTTACGTACTGTAAATTAAAATTGTACGTACTGACGTAAATTTTTACGACTGTAAGTAAAGTACGTACGTACAGTAAAATTGACGTACTTACAGTAATGTTGTACATACTGTACTAATTTTGTACAATGTACAGAATATTGTAGAATTGTAAAATTTTTGTACTACTGTACAGAAAAATTGTACGTACTGTACAGTAAATATTGTACTTCTGTACAGTAATATTTTACTACTGTACAGTAAAATTTAGTACTGTACATAATGTTAAGCCCGTTTAAAATGTTAACCCCAGCACTTTGGAATGGGTTTGTGAATTAACCAAAAAATAACACTTGTTAACCAGAACACTTTGTGAAGTGGGTTAGTGAAGTTAACCATAAATATAACACTTGTTAACCAGAGCACTTTGTGAAGTGGGTTAGTAAAGTTAACCATAAATATAACACTTGTCAACCAGAGCACTTTGTGAAGTGGGTTAGTTAAGTCAATCGTTATTAAAACAAGTGTTAATCAGTCATTATAAAAAAATTAGGAATGACTGAATATTTCTGCTGAGTCATGATGACTTGCAGCTTTCCCCTCAGGCACATAACCTTGAGATCAGATGATCGTGCGGATGATGCCTCACGGTCTATTCTTCTCCCTATATTGTCTATTATTCTACCGTCATCTATCATTCGATTGTGTAGGAGAGGCATGTTTTGGGTGGTGAAGTAATTCCTTTTACTGAGAATGAGTCAGTCAGGACATGAATGTCATTCACTACTTTGTCATCGCTTCTGGTAATACTAGTTGCCGTGAATGGCAGGAAAATATACACTGAGTGATGTATATCAGTGTATATACACTGGCAGTTTACATTAATTAGTATTATAGGTATTAAAGAATTCTTGTCTCGTGGTGAACAGGCAGTATTAATGACCCTGGTGTGGCAGATAGACTTGAAATTCTCCTCCACCCAATAAAACCAAGCCAGCAACCCGCTTGTGGCTTCACAGTGATAACAAGTGGGTTGTTGTGGTACAGTGCTCGCAGTTATTTCCTGGAGAACAGACCTGCCTTACAACACATTCACAGTCTTTTATAACTGTTCACTTCTGAAGAACACATCACACCTGGTAAGTTGTGCAAAAAATCGAACTTATTTGCAATTATATACAGTCAGCTCTTTTGTAAAGTGCCTTCATATACATTCTGGCAGTTTTCACTGGTGGCACACACAGTGCCTCTGCTGCCTTACTGGAATATAATAACTTGTCCAACCACAAGTAACATTCTCCCAGACTCTAGTACCTCTGCTGTCTCTCTTAGGACCCACCAACGATATACTAACTCACCACACAGTCTTCCAGGTGTCTTCTTCACCTCTCCTGGTGTATGTATTGTATACAGTACTCGCTGGTGCACTCACCCTATCACCCTCCCAGTCTCCTCCGTGAATAACTTCTTAAAATTCTGGCTGAGCTCCTTACAGACTTCCTGGTCATTTCCTAGAGCCTTTCTTCCCCCCTTCCTTCCTCCGTCAGCATCATTACCTCGCATTTCACTGTTTTCTTCCTCCTGGTGTGGCTGTGTAGCAACTTTATCTCAGAATTCCTTTCCACTGTTGTGTTATTCTCAGACAAACGTTCATTCTCTCTTCTTACCCATAAATATTCCTTCCTGATGCTTCTCCTTCCTTCTTCTCTTGTATTCTTTACTTCCTATATTTCTTCCATGATTCTTGTAGGCATAGTTGTTACCTCTTGGCACTTCTGGGTGAACCATGGTTCACTATACATCTCTGGGTGAACCACGGTTCACTCTACACCTCTAGGTGAACCATGGTTCACTTTACATCTCTGGGTGAACCATGGTTCACTGTACAACTCTGGGTGAACCATGATTCACTCTACATCTCTGGGTGAACCATGGCTCACTCTACATCTCTGGGTGAACCATGGCTCACTCTACATCTCTGGGTAAACCATGAGTTCACTCTACATCTCTGGATGAACCATGGTTCACTGTACATCTCTGGGTGAACCATGGTTCACTGTACATCTCTGGTTGAACCATGGTTCACTCTACATCTCTGGGTGAACCATGGTTCACTCTACATCTCTGGGTGAACCATGGTTCCCTCTACATCTCTGGGTGAACCATGGTTCACTGTACATCTCTGGGTGAACCATGGTTCACTGTACATCTCTGGGTGAACCATGGGTTCACTCTACATCTTTGGGTGAACCATGGTTCCCTCTACATCTCTGGGTGAACCATGGTTCACTCTACATCTCTGGGTGAACCATGGTTCCCTCTACATCTCTGGGTGAACCATGGTTCACTCTACATATCTGGGTGAACCATGGTACACTCTACAACTCTGGGTGAACCATGGTTCACTCTACATCTCTAGGTGAACCATGGTTCACTCTATATTTCTGGGTGAACCATGGTTCACTCTACATCTCTGGGTGAACCATGGTTCACTCTACATCTCTGGGTGAACCATGGTTCACTGTACATCTCTGGTTGAACCATGGTTCACTGTACATCTCTGGTTGAACCATGGTTCACTCTACATCTCTGGATGAACCAGGGTTCACTATACATCTCTGGGTGAACCATGGGTTCACTCTACATCTTTGGGTGAACCATGGTTCCCTCTACATCTCTGGGTGAACCATGGTTCACTCTACATCTCTGGGTGAACCATGGTACACTCTACAACTCTGGGTGAACCATGGTTCACTCTACATCTCTAGGTGAACCATGGTTCACTCTATATTTCTGGGTGAACCATGGTTCACTCTATATTTCTGCGTGAACCATGGTTCACTCTACATCTCTGGGTGAACCATGGTTCACTGTACATCTCTGGCTGAACCATGGTACACTCCACATCTCTGGGTGAACCATGGGTTCACTCTACATCTCTGAGTGAACCATGGTTCACTCTACATCTCTGGATGAACCATGGGTTGAAATTTACATCTCTGGGTGAACCATGGGTTCACTCTACATCTCTGAGTGATCCATGGTACACTCCACATCTCTGGGTGAACCATGGTTCCCTCTACATCTCTGGGTGATCCATGGTTCACTCTACATCTCTGGGTGAAGCATGGTTCCCTCTACATCTCTGGGTGAACCATGGTTCACTCTACATCTCTGGGTGAACCATGGTTCACTCAACACCTCTGGGTGAACCATGGTTCACTCAACACCTCTGGGTGAACCATGGGTTCACTCTACATCTCTGGGTGAACCATGGGTTCACTCTACATCTCTGGGTGAACCATGGGTTCACTCTACATCTCTGGGTGAACCATGGTTCACTCTACATCTCTGGGTGAACCATGGGTTTCACTCTACATCATTTTGGGTGAACCATGGTTCACTCTAAAATCTCTGGGTGAACCAGGGGTTTTCACTCTACATCTCTGGTGAACCATGGGTTCACTCTACATCTCTGGGTGAACCATGGGTTCACTCTACATCTCTGGGTGAACCATGGGTTCACTCTACATCTCTGGGTGAACCATGGGTTCACTCTACATCTCTGGGTAAACCATGGTTCACTCTACATCTCTGGGTAAACCATGGTTCACTCAACATCTCTGGGTAAACCATGGTTCAGTCAACATCTCCGGGTGAACCATGGTTCACTCTACACCTCTGGGTGAACCATGGTTCACTCTACATCTCTGGGTGAACCATGGGTCCACTCTGAACCTTCTACTTCGCCTTACCTTCCTGTACTCACACGTGGTTGTAAGGGTCGAGCCATAGCTCCTGACCCCACCCATGCAATATTAACCACCACACTGATACATTGCAGGGTGAGGATGGTGATGCTGGTGGTGCTGGCGGTGTTGGTGGTGGTGGTGACGGCAGTGTTAGCATACTCTAAGCACCACCTCAACTACTGGGCATTGCGTGGGGTGCCCACTGCCCCTGGGGCACTGCCCATCCTGGGTCACATGCATAAGTTCATCTCCAAGAAGTACCCAAGATGGCTGTATGCTGACGAGGTGAGAGATTGTTAAGTGATTGTGCCTTGAAACACCCCCGGAGATTGTTAGGTGATGATTGTGCCTTGAAATACCCCCAGAGATTGTTAGGTGATGATTGTGCCTTGAAATACCCCCAGAGATTGCTAGGTGGTGATTGTGCCTTGAAATACCCCCAGAGATTGTTAGGTGATGATTGTGCCTTGAAATACCCCCAGAGATTGTTAGGTGATGATTGTGCCTTGAAATACCCCCAGAGATTGTTAGGTGGTGATTGTGCCTTGAAACACCCCTTTAAAATCAGGCATAATCACAGACAACACTACAGACCACTACCCAACCTTTCTCATAACTAATCTGGGCAAACTGCCACAAGACATTACTAAAGTAACTTTCAGACTACATAACGAGACAGCAGTTAACAATTTTATAGCAGCTATGAATAACATTGATTGGCAAAATGAGTTTGAAACATATACAGATATGAATGAATGTATAAATAATTTTCTAAAAAAAGCCCAAAGCCTCTATAACAAACATTGTCCCCAAAAAACCAAACAGATCACAGCAAAGAGACTGAATAATGCCTGGCTAACACCAAGCATCCTCAAATCCATTAACACAAAGCACAAATATGAAAAACAGTATAGAATGGGTCAAATAACTAGATAACAGTCTAAACGTTACTAATCAGCAGCTGTATAGCCCTTGTGGCTTAGCGCTTCTTTTTGATTATAATAATAATAATACTAATCAGCACTTACCAGCCTGATAAGATCTAAAAAATTGTATTATGAGAATAGATTACATAACAAAGGTGATATGAAAAATATCTGGAAAACTCTCTCTGAAATTATTGGAATTAAAAAGCTATCCAAAAACAATACAATCAAATTAACAAAATCAGACGAACCCCAACTCACACCAACTGAAACAGTAAACAGACTCAATGTTTTCTTCTCCACAGGAAAAAATCTAGTGAGCAAAATACCAAGCACAAACACCCGTCCATCAGACTACCTCATAGGTACCTACCCAAATACGCTATTCCTAGCTCCAACCAACCCCACTGAAGTCTCGCTCATCATCAACATCCTTAAAAACAAGGCAGGAGACATAAATAACTTGCTTGCTTTTATGTACAATAAGCTTCTCAAGTATTGTCACCAATTATTGCTACACTCTTTAACAAATCCATTGAATCATCTACCTTCCCAACAATCCTCAAAATAGCGAGGGTCACTCCGATCCATAAAGGAGGTGACCATGCTGACTTGAATAACTATAGACCAATATCTAACTTACCACTGCTCTCTAAAATCTTTGAAATATTAATTCTTAGACGGATCTATTCCTACCTCGTCTCACACAACATATTAAACCCTTGTCAGTTTGGATTCAGGAATAATAAAAGCACAAATGACGCTATCATACACATGCTAGAACTAATATATACCGCACTCGAAAAGACAGACGCCCCGCTGGGCATTTTCACTGATTTACGCAACCATGAACTGCTGTACTCTAGATTAACGCACTATGGTATCAGAGGCCACTCCCTCAACTACCTAAAGTCATACCTTAGTAGCAGAATTCAATATGTGTATGCAAATGGTGCAAACTCTTCCTCCCAACCAATCACAGTAGGAGTCCCACAAGGAAGTGTCCTTGGACCACTCCTCTTTCTCATCTACATCAATGATCTACCGAATACATCACAGCTACTCAAACCCATATTATTTGCAGATGACACTACATACGTCTTCTCCCACCCAAACCCAGTCATACTCGCCAACATTGTCAGTGCCGAATTTCAGAAAATATCTGCCTGGAAGATGACTAATAAACTTACCCTGAATACTGATAAAACCTATTTCATTCAGTTTGGAAACAAAGCTGCAAATGATCCACTTAACATAACGCCTACTACATACACAGAACAATACACGCAAATATAAACAATCCACTCAAACTTCTCACCAACGTTAACAGGACACATGACCACAACACAAGACACAGATCTCTTTTTGATATACCTCGTGTCCATATCACACTGTGTAAAAACTCTGTGCACATAAAGGGCCCCAAAATATGGAATTCATTACCAGAAGATACTAAAGTAACCCAGTCTGAAAATCAATTTAAGACTCTTCTCAAAAGCCACTTAATCACCCTAGACTAAATGCTAAATACTCAGTACTCACATACTCAATACGTATTCCCATATCATAATTTCAACAATTACTTTTGAACCTTTTATCCATTGTCGACAGGAATATAATTGAATCATTGTTTTCACAAAAAGCATTTTTGAATATATAAATATATCTTTTGTCTTATATCGGTTAGATTCACTTATAATTAATAATCTACTATACAACTATGATACAATCATTAGTGTTAAGTAGTCTGTAAGCCAATAATGTTAAGTTGGCCCATAATGCCTAGGCATAATAGAGGCTCTCGTTGCATTGCAACCCATTATTTGTAAATACATAATCTCAATGTACTATTTGCAAAGACATAAATAAATAACAATATAAATAAAAAAATTTTGCCTTGAAAGACCCCCAGAGATTCTTAGGTGGTGATTATGTATTGAAACACCCCCAGAGATTGTTTTTAGGTGGTGAATGTGCATTGAAGAACCCCCAGAATTGTTGTTAGGTGGTGATTGTGCATTGAAACACCCCCAGAGATTGTTTTTAGGTAGTGAATGTGCATTGAATCACCCCCAGAGATTGCTGTTAGGTGGTGATTGTATCTATACCCTGAGAGATTGTTGTGGTGTTGTGATTGTGCCTTGAAAGACCCCCAAAGATTGTTGTTAGGTTGTGAGTATGCATTGAAACACCCCCAGAGATTGTTGTTAGGTGGCGATTGTATACTCTCAGAGATTGTTGTCGTGTTGTGACTGTGCCTTGAATAACCCCCTGAGATTGTTGTTAGGTGGTGATTATTCGTTTAAACACCCACAGAGTTTGTTGTTAGGTGGTGATTATATCTATACCTTCAGAGATTGTTGTCGTGTTGTGATTGTGCCTGGAAAGACCCCTAAGATTGTTGTTAGGTGGTGATTATGTATTGAAACACCCCCAGAGATTGTTGTTAGGTGGTTATTATGCATTGAAACACCCACAGAGATTGTTAGGTGGTGATTGTATCTATACCCTCAGAGATTGTTGTCGTGTTGTGATTGTGCCTTGAAACACCACCAGAGATTGTTGTTGGGTTGTGATTGTGCCTTATAACACCTCCAGAGATTGTCGTTATATGGTGATTGTTTACCTGGAGACCTGGAGAGAGTTTCGGGGTCAACGCCCCCGCGGCCCGGTCTGTGACCAGGCCTCCTGGTGGATCAGAGCCTGATCAACCAGGCTGTTGCTGCTGGCTGCACGCAAACCAACGTACGAGCCACAGCCTGGCTGGTCAGGAACTGACTTTAGGTGCTTGTCCAGTGCCAGCTTGAAGACTGCCAGGGGTCTGTTGGTAATCCCCCTTATGTGTGCTGGGAGGCAGTTGAACAGTCTCGGGCCCCTGACACTTATTGTATGGTCTCTTAACGTGCTAGTGACACCCCTGCTTTTCATTGGGGGGATGGTGCATCGTCTGCCAAGTCTTTTGCTTTCGTTAGTGAGTGATTTTCGTGTGCAAGTTCGGTACTAGTCCCTCTAGGATTTTCCAGGTGTATATAATCATGTATCTCTCCCTCCTGCGTTCCAGGGAATACAGGTTTAGAAACCTCAAGCGCTCCCAGTAATTGAGGTGTTTTATCTCCGTTATGCGCGCCGTGAAAGTTCTCTGTACATTTTCTAGGTCGGCAATTTCACCTGCCTTGAAAGGTGCTGTTAGAGTGCAGCAATATTCCAGCCTAGATAGAACAAGTGACCTGAAGAGTGTCATCATGGGCTTGGCCTCCCTAGTTTTGAAGGTTCTCATTATCCATCCTGTCATTTTTCTAGCAGATGCGATTGATACAATGTTATGGTCCTTGAAGGTGAGATCCTCCGACATAATCACTCCCAGGTCTTTGACGTTGGTGTTTCGCTCTATTTCGTGGCCAGAATTTGTTTTGTACTCTGATGAAGATTTAATTTCCTCATGTTTACCATATCTGAGTAATTGAAATTTCTCATCGTTGAACTTCATATTGTTTCTGCTGCAGCCCACTGAAAGATTTGGTTGATGTCCGCCTGGAGCCTTGCAGTGTCTGCAATGGAAGACACTGTCATGCAGATTCGGGTGTCATCTGCAAAGGAAGACACGGTGCTGTGGCTGACATCCTTGTCTATGTCGGATATGAGGATGAGGAACAAGATGGGAGCTAGTACTGTGCCTTTTTGGAACAGAGCTTTTCACCGTAGCTGCCTCGGACGTTACTCTGTTGACGACTACTCTCTGTGTTCTGTTAGTGAGGAAATTATAGATCCATCGACCGACTTTTCCTGTTATTCCTTTAGCGCGCATTTTGTGCGCTATTACGCCATGGTCACACTTGTCGAAGGCTTTTGCAAAATCTTTTATATATTACATCTGCATTCTTTTTGTCTTCTAGTGCATTTAGGACCTTGTCGTAGTGATCCAGTAGTTGAGACAGACAGGAGCGACCTGTTCTAAACCCATGTTGCCCTGGGTTGTGTAACTGATGGGTTTCTAGATGGGTGGTGATCTTGCTTCTTAGGACCCTTTCAAAGATTTTTATGATATGGGATGTTAGTGCTATTGGTCTGTAGTTCTTTGCTGTTGCTTTACTGCCCCCTTTGTGGAGTGGGGCTATGTCTGTTGCGCTATTACGCCATGGTCACACTTGTCGAAGGCTTTTGCAAAGTCTGTATATATTACATCTGCATTCTTTTTGTCTTCTAGTGCATTTAGGACCTTGTCGTAGTGATCCAGTAGTTGAGACAGACAGGAGCGACCTGTTCTAAACCCATGTTGCCCTGGGTTGTGTAACTGATGGGTTTCTAGATGGGTGGTGATCTTGCTTCTTAGGACCCTTTCAAAGATTTTTATGATATGGGATGTTAGTGCTATTGGTCTGTAGTTCTTTGCTGTTGCTTTACTGCCCCCTTTGTGGAGTGGGGCTATGTCTGTTGTGCCTCGAAACACGCCAGAGATTGTTGTTAGGTAGTGATTGTGCCTCAAAACACTCCAGAGATGGTTTGGTTGTTGATTGTACACCCCTGAGACACCCCAGATGTTCTTTAATGATGATTTTGTGCTTCTGCAACACTCCAGAGATTGTTGTTAACTCGTGATTGTGTCTTGAAACACCCAGAGATTGTTGTTAACTCGTGATTGTGTCTTGAAACACCCAGAGATTGTTTGGTTGAGATTTTGTGCCGTGAGACACCCCAGATATTGTTAGGTTGTGATTATGTCTTGAAACACCCCAGAGATTGCTGTTAGGTGGTGATTGTGTCTTGAAACATCCCCAGAGATTGTTGTTAGGTGGTGATTGTACCTCGAAACACCCCCAGAGGTTGTTATTAGGTAGTGATTGTATCTACACCCTCAGAGATTGTTGTCGTGTTGTGATTGTGCCTTGTAATACGCCAGAGATTATTGTGAGGTAGTGATTGTGCCTTGAAATATCCCAGAGATTGTTGTTAGATGGTTATTGTGCCTCGAAACACCCTAGAGATTGCTGTTAGGTAGTGATTGTGCCTCGAAACACTCCAGAGATGGTTTGGTTGGTGATTGTGCGTCCCTGAGACACCCCAGATATTGTTTAATGATGATTTTGTCCTTCTGCAACACCCCAGAGATTGTTGTTAGGCTGTCTTTGTGTCTTGAAACTTTCCAGAGATTGTTAAGTTTTGATTGTGTCTTGAAACACCCCAGAGATTGTTTGGTTGGTGATTGTGTGCCCCTGAGACACCCCAGATATTGTTGTGATTGTGTCCTGAAACACCCCAGAGATTGCTTGGCTCGTGATTGTGTGCCCTGAGACATCCCATATATTGTTTGGTGGTGATTGTATGCCTCCTGAAATACCCCAGAGATTGTCAGATTGTGATTGCATTCTTAAACACCTCAGGAATTGTGGATAAATTGTGATTGTGTTTAAAAATAGTTAGCAGTAGTAGTTATTATCTTATAATAATCTGCATAACATTAGCTTCGAGAAGTTATTATAAGATAAATAATGAGATATGTTAGAAAATTTTGAAACGGCTGGAAATATGGGTATATGTGTAAATGGAAAACGGGAATAAATAAACGGAATGTAAATAATGTGCTAAAAATATTTAACTAAGACAGGATTCGCAATAATGGTTTCAAGTTAGAAAAATTTAGATTCAGAATAATATAGGAAAGCACTGGTTTGGTAATAGAGTTGTGGATGAGTGGAACAAACTCCCGAGTAGCATCACTGAAGCTAAAACCTTGTGTAGTTTTAAAAATAGGTAAAATAAATACATGAACGGGTGTGGGTGGGTGTGAGTTGGAGCTGTCTCGCATGAGCCAGTAGGCCTGATTCAGTGCTTCTTCTTTCTTATGTTTTTATAAAATCCAAGAAGCCTCGGGGGTTCAACTCTGTGTGTGGGTTCTAAGTTGTTGAAGTCCAGACTGGTGACTGCAGACTCTGAACTTACGTTTGTGTTGATAGGTTTACAGGAGCCTCGGGGATTCAACTGTGTGTGGGTTCTACGAGATGATGAAACCCACGCTGATGATTGCTGACCCAGAGCTTGTCAAAGCAGTACTGATCAAGGACTTCGACTACTTCGTCGACCGTCGAATCTTCAACTTTACCTCAGACAAGGATGAGATCCTCAATGAGATGCTGACACAAGCCTCAGGGACCCACTGGAAAGGCATCCGCTCCGTGCTGTCTCCCAGCTTCACATCCGGCCGGATGAAGGGAATGTATCCACTTGTGGAGCAGAAGGCTGATGCTCTGTTGGATTACATTCACAGAGAGTTGAAGACCAAAACATCCATTAAGCTGAAGAAATGTTTTGGTCTCTACACCCTAGAGGTCATCTCATCCTGCGCCTTTGGCATGGACACCAACTCACTCAGAGACGGCCATTCCACATTCAACACACAGGTGGAAAACATTTTCAAGACCAGCACAATCAGAATGATAAAAATAATATTCTTCTTATGTTTCCCCAAGCTCAGCAACGTCCTGAAGATGAGCTTCACCCAGCCTGAGGTATTCTTCTTCAGGGACGTGATAATAGAGACTATCAAGCAGCGAGAAGCAGGAGAGAAGAGAGGAGACTTCCTGGATCTCATGATGGAGTCCAGAGACCACCAGAGTGACCCCACCTCCAAGACTTCTAAATATCGTAATGTATCAATTACTGTCTCGTTCATCTTCTTGTGAAACATTGTTAGTGCAGTGGTGCAGATTCTACCACACTGTTGACAGCAGTGGTGCAGAGTCTACCATACTGTTGACAGCAGTGGTGCAAAGTCTACCATACTGTTGACAGCAGTGGTGCAGAGCCTACCACACTGTTGACAGCAGTGGTGCAGAGTCTGCCACACTGGTGACAGCAGTGGTTCAGAGTCTACCACACTGGTGACAGCAATGGTGCAGAGTCCACCACACTAGTGAAAGCACTGCTGCCACCACACTAGTGGCAGCAGTGGGATTCCAACAGTGGTGTTAATGGTAAGTACTTACCTCTCTCTCTCCTCAGCACTGAAGATGAGTACCATAGTAGCTGAGAGCATCCTGTTCATCCTAGCTGGCTACGACACCACAGCCAACACAATCTCCTTTGTCGCCTTCCTCCTAGCTCAGCACCAGTCCCACCAACAGCGCCTTCGTCAGGAACTGAGAGAGATCGCTGTGGATGGAACAATCTCCTACCAAGATCTTATGGAGGCCAAGTACCTGGATGCTTGCATCTCAGGTGTGTCTGACACTATAGGCAGCTTTGGGCATGGGTATGACAAGGCCTAACGAAGGTTGGGAGGGATACTGGGTGCCAGTAGTGGCTGGCTGAGAGGCAGGGCCCAGAAGCTGAGACTAGACCCATTTCAAGCACAAGTACCTACACGCACCAGTCACTAATAATAATAATAATAATAATAATAATAATAATAATAATACAAATAATTTTAATGAAAAGAATACCACTACTACTACTACTACTACTACTACTACTACTACTACTACTACCACCACTATACTACTAATATTATACTACTACTATCATCACTACTACTACTACTAATAATAATTATAATAACATTGCAGAGACCCTGAGACTGTACCCAGTGGCACACTTCACAGAGAGGCAATGCACTAAGCCTTACACGTAAGATATTGTCCAAGTTCTAACACCTGAAAAAACACCTGTAATAAATGACAATACAGGTGTGACGAACACCTGTACATGATGAAGGGCAGCCCACATGTTCACGGGGGAATTAAGAGATGGAGGACTTGGTTGAAGGTCGAAATACTCTTTGAAACATCAATTCCTTCTGATGTTCATCTGACAGCATGTGTCATGCCCGCCAGCATATTGTTATCGTATGATATTTAACAGATTTATATGCGTCTAATGTACTATAGATTAATTTCGTCTATGTTTTTCATATTTCGTCTTAACGAATGGTGTTTTTTTGCTTTTTAGCGTTCCTGGGACCAAGGTGGTCCTTACTGAGAAGTCTGTAATTGGAATACCCATCTGGAGTCTTCACCACGACCCTCGATACTGGTCTGACCCTGAGACCTTCTCTCCAGACCGCTTCCTGCCACCCAACAAGGACCAGATTAAGTCAGGCACTTACCTGCCCTTCGGTCTAGGACCCAGAAACTGTATTGGTGAGTGGTCTAGCTCTGTGTTGGTCTCCTGCGATGTATCATACCTACTCTCGAAGCTGTGTTTGCACTGTGCCTTTACGATGTTCACTTCATGAGATTAATTACATCCGTCTCATAACACTAGGGCTGGAAAAGTAAGTCACACCATCTCTCAGACTCATCTGTGATAGCTGTGCCATGTTAGACCTGTGTACTCACTTAATTGTGGTTGCAGGGGTCGAGACTCAGCTCCTGGCCCAGCCTCTTCACTGATCGCTACTAGGTCCTCTCTCTCTCTCTCTCTCTCTCTCTCTCTCTCTCTCTCTCTCTCTCTCTCTCTCTCTCTCTCTCTCTCTCTCTCTCTCTCTCTCTCTGCTCCCTGAGCTTTGTCTTAAAACTATTCAAATTCCAAATTCAAATTCAAAGTTTATTCTCTATAAGGATTACAATGCTGAGTTTACAGAATTTGGTTATTGTTTGGTTTACATGTAGTAAAATAATAATTACAGAGTGTACCACTAGAACACCTAGCATGGCTAGGCATTTCGGGCAGACTTAGATTAAATCTTAAGTTTAAAATATTACAAAATTATGAGGTAAGTTGGTATTATGGCTAAGTGACTAAATACTAGTTTGTGAGTTTAGCAATGTGAATGCTTTTGTTTTGGCGCTATACATAGTTTCAGTATTGGAGTATCACAGGCCAACTTATGACTAGTTTAGATTCATTATTTTGAGATTGAGATTGATATTTCTGTTTATGGTCAAATGGGTGAGTGAGTGTAAGTGTGAGCCACCAGGTGGTATTCGTATAATTAGTTGACAGGGTGTATCAGGGAGATAAGATGTTTTCTGATGGTAGTTTTGAAGGTAATGAATGTGTCTGCAGTTTTAGAATTTTCAGGTAGGGTGTTCCAGATTTTAGGGCCTTTGACATACATTGAATTTTTGTAAAGGTTTAGTCGGACACGGGGAATGTCATAGAGATGTTTGTGTCTGGTGTTGTGCCTGTGGGTTCTGTCACAACTATCAAGAAAGCGTTTTAGTTCAAGGTTAATATTGGAATTTAAGGTCCTGTAGATGTAGATTGCACAGTAGTAAGTGTGGATGTACTGAACAGGGAGTAAGTTTAGATCTATGAAGAGTGGGGGGGGGGTGTTGCCAGGGATGGGATTTAGTGATTATTCTTACTGCGGCTTTTTGTTGGGTTATTATTGGCTTTAGGTGTGTTGCTGCAGTTGAACCCCATGCACAGATAGCATAGGTGAGGTATGGATATTTAAGTGAATGGTATAGTGTGAGAAGGGCAGTTTGCGGCACGTAGTATCGTATCTTGGAGAGGATCCCAACTGTTTTGGATACTTTTTTGGTTATGTGTTGGATATGGGTGCTGAAGTTCAGGTTGTTGTCGAGGTATAGGCCTAGGAATTTGCCCTCATTATGCCTGGCAATTAGAGTGTTGTCGATCTTAATGTTAATTTGCGCATCTCCTGCTCTGCTACCAAACATAATATAGTAGGTTTTGTCAGCGTTAAGCGTAAGTTTATTGGCTGTCATCCAAGTCGATATTTTGATCAGCTCCTCCTTAACAATGGTGTTGAGGGTGGCAAGATTAGGGTGAGAGATGACATAAGTCGTGTCGTCAGCAAAGAGAATGGGGTTCAGGTGTTGAGATAAGTTTGGAAGATCATTGATGTATATGAGGAAGAGCAGGGGACCAAGGACACTTCCCTGCGGAACTCCAGTATCAAGTGGCTGTGTTGTTGATGCTGTGTCTTTAATGGTGACATACTGATACCTATTAGTAAGGTAAGATTTGAAATATGCAAGCGCATGGCCTCTTATACCATAATGGTCAAGTTTGTGGAGTAGGATGCCGTGGTCTGCTGTGTCAAAAGTTTTTCTTAGGTCAATAAAAATTCCTAGTGGATATTCCTTATTTTCCAATGCTGTGTAAAGCAGATCTAGCATTTTTATGATTGCATCGTTAGTGCTTTTATTTTTCCTGAATCCAAATTGGCAGGGGTTGAGTATGTTTTGTGCCGTTATAAATGAATATAGTCTCCTGTGCACGAGTTTCTCAAAGATTTTGGATAGCAATGGTAAGTTTGATATTGGCCTATAGTTGTTTAAATCTGTAGGGTCACCACCTTTATGTATTGGTGTAACCCTTGCCGTCTTGAGTAGTTTCAGGAAGGTGCTAGTTTCTAGTGACTTGTTAAAAAGTAATGAAATTGCATGCGAGAGGACATGGGCCGCTCTCTTGTACAATAATGGTGGGACATGAGACAGATTCCCTGAGTTATTTTTAAGTGACTTTATAATCTCGGTGACTTCCGTGGGCTCAGTTGGAGCAAGATAGAAGGAATTTGGGAAATTCCCATCTAGGTAGTCCCCGACATGGGCATTGGTATGTGGGATTTTATTGGCGAGATAAGATCCTATGGTTGAGAAGTCGTTTATCTTGTTAGCTGTGTCAGTGGGATGTAGTGGTGTTTCATTAGGTTTAGTTAGGACAATATTTTTTTTTTTTTTTTTCAGTTTGTGGGTCCCTAGAATCTGAGAGTTTTTTCCAGGTCTTTTTTATATCTCCTCTTTATTTTATTATTATTATTATTTTTTATTATCACACTGGCCGATTCCCACCAAGGCAGGGTGGCCCGAAAAAGAAAAACTTTCACCATCATTCACTCCATCACTGTCTTGCCAGAAGGGTGCTTTACACTACAGTTTTTAAACTGCAACATTAACACCCCTCCTTCAGAGTAGGTTGGTAGACAGCAACCACCCAGGGAAGTACTACCGTCCTGCCAGATGACTGTGAAACAGAAACCTGTAACTGTTTTGCATGATGGTAGGATTGCTGGTTTCTTTTTCTGTCTCATAAACACGGGATATCTTGCTACTCCTTTTCTGTCTCATAAACAGGGATATCTTGCTACTCCAACTTACACTTTGGTCACACTTCACAGACATGCACATGCATATATATATATATATATATATATATATATATATTATATATATACATACATCTAGGTTTTTCTCCTTTTTCTAAATAGCTCTTGTTCTTCTTTATTTCTTCTATTGTCCATGGGGAAGTGGAAAAGAATCTTTCCTCCGTAAGCCATGCGTGTCGTATGAGGCGACTAAAATGCCGGGAGCAATGGGCTAGTAACCCCTTTTCCTGTAGACATTTACTAAAAAAGAGAAGAAGAAAAACTTTATCTCCTCTTGTGTCAGTGAATCTACTGGAGTAGTATAGTTGTTTGGCTTTCTTTATTACTTTGGTGAGAACGGCAGCGGCAGCGGCAGCAACGGTATCCTACCAGCTCTTCTTTCTCAAAAAAAACATCGCCCATCAAAACTTGTGATGGCCTAAGTGAAAGTTCAACTACATGAACCCACGTAGACCACAACATGACCCAAGAATACTAAGAATGTAACCCAAATCTTGACAAAATTAGAAGATCTAAGGAAGACAGCCCTGCTAACCCAAACACTGCCTCCGCTGCCAGACAACCACTTAACCCAAGCTCCGAGAAAACAAGCCTTCTCCTCCATTGCTACACAGTATCTACTTCAGTGATACTATGAAAGGATATCGCAGAAGACACAACACCAGTAATAAAAGAATAACAGCAAGGACCCTAGAACTCAACTTGTCTACCCAGCAGGACGCCAGTGTATCATCAACCCCCCTCACCGACGCCACCCAGGGAACAACAACAACAACAACAAAACATGGCTGACTCCCCCTCCAACTCCACTCCCTTCAAAGGATTCATCCATGATAACTCAGGTACGATTATTCCTGACAATATCAAGGACTACATCGTTGCTCTAGAAAATGAAATCAAAGATATCAAAGCAGCACTCGAGCGACGAGATTCCAAGATAACCAACCTCGAGAATAAGATCCAAAACCTTGAAGAGAAGATTACATCGGGAAGTGTTGATACAGAAAATACTCTAAAAGCAGCTATAGCCAGTCACACTGAACAAATAACAACAATAAATATGAAGGTTGAAGAAGCAATCAAGGACTGGAATCTGAACATGCACACTCGACTAAATGAATACCTTGATTTCCAAGACGACAAAACTGAACAAGATAAGTTGTCTGATGCAGTTATAATAAACAGTCCACACATTCCTAGTGACATAACACAAGCACAGTGCAAAGAAACTGCTATCAGGATAATACAGAACCACGTACAAGTCATCGTGCAAAACAATGAAATCAAAGAAACACGTTTGTTAGGAAAACCAGGAAGTAAACACAGTATAATGATCCGACTTCATTCATACGATAAAAGAAAGGACTAATTAAATCAGCAATTACAATGAAAATGGAGTGTACATAAAAAATGAGTGTCTAACAAAAAAACGTCAAAACCTTCTGTTCAGCTGAGAAAAACTTAAACAGGAAAACAAAATACATCAGTGTTTCACGCGAGATGGGAAAATACTAGTAAGGAAAACATCAACAGGACAACAATATACCATCTCAAACGAACATGATTTCTCTACCTTCCTTAGAAAAGCTGACATTTCTGTAACAGATTAAATAAGTGCCCTTAATACATATATACGTGTGGTGCATATAGTGTACGTTACTATCATATTGTACATTATTATTTTTATTATTTTTCATCACTAGCTAATGCCAACTACCTCCAATACTCTATAACTTTCTTACTGCTATTAATTGCTCATAATTTTAAATTAAAAGTCAAATCTTACTCCAAATTAATAATATTCATTTTTTCTTACCTGTCCATTTAATTTTGTTTATCACTACTTGTTTTTTTAGTCACTTTACATTGTATATTCAATTAGTGTATATTCCAATTACTTTTTTGCAAGTACCAAAACTATCTTTTGCTAGCTAGTACCAACTACCTCATTTTTTTTTACTTTTATTGTGCAATAAACTGCTCAATTTATCTAATATTACAAATCAGATCTTACTCCTAAACCAATATTTTTCATAGTGACCATCTGTCCATTTAACTTTG